AGTTTTCGGTTTGATTCAGTTTAGTTTTGTTCATCTATCATTGTTGTCGGGCATAATCGATACTTTCAAATATGAAAAATCTAACCATTTATAATTAAACTTGGATTTCAATCCCAATATCATTAACTTTTAGTTAAATTGTCGATTCGATTTAATTCAATTTGATTCGTCCAAAATTTAAATATCAACTTTGTACAACTGTATTCGGTTTTGATCAATACTTTCAAGTTTCAAATCTGATCAAAAGACTTCTAATTCCAATATCATTAACTTCTAAATTAAATTTTTGGCTTGATTTAATTCGACTTGATTCATCCAAAAGTACCAACTTTTTTTGAAAAATACCTCTAGTCTAACTCATTAATGTGTACATCTACTATTGATCTATACAATATATAAACAGATAAACACTAATTAAAAAGAAGGGTAAATATGGAAATACAGATAAAAGAATCAGAAGACAATTGAGAAAAAACTCTCCGTTATATAAACACCACGAGCGTGGAAGCCAAAGAGCAATTTTCTCCCACCAAAAGAAACCTCTTATGGGTCAAAAGTAATTAATATTTATTTATACAGAAATCATAAATCTTTTCTTTTTTTCCTTTTTTCCCAGAAGAAACCAAAAATGAAGAAATCATCATCGTATAATCTCATTTTCTTCATCGTCTTGATGAGTTTTGGTTTCAAATTATCATTAGCTTTCACGAATCTAAATAGCTTAAGCTTTGAAGAATCTCTTTCTCCTCTCTTTGGTGATTCCAATCTCGTACGTTCTCCTGATGATCTCTCCGTTCGCCTCCTCCTCGATCGATATACCGGTACATACACACATATATGGTTCTTGATTTTCTTGATTTGTCTCTTCTTTTTTTATTTTTATGATGCTGATGATTATGATCATCTCAAAAGTCTATGATACGTTAATTTTAGTATCTTTCATATATATATATATGCATATACTCAAAAAATTGTTGAAATTTTTTTATTTGTAATTATATGATGATATTATTTATAGGTTCGGGATTTATATCATCGAATATGTATCAACATGGATTTTACAGCTCCATGATCAAGCTTCCCGCCGATTATACCGCCGGTGTAGTTGTCGCCTTTTATGTAAGTCTCCGGTAAAATATTGATTTATATGATTACCAAAAAAATGTTTTTCTAATTTATTTCTTTTATCAAGAAATCTATCTTGCATGAGATGTCTTTTTTCTTGGTTGATAATTTTCATTACTTTCTTGGTAAAATCATGATCTAAATTTGAATATCGTCATTGAAAAATAGTCGAAAAACCCATGACACAAATTTTTCCTGTTTGGTTGCCTAGAAAATAGTCAGAATTTTTTTCCCGAGGATACAAATAGTTACATTTTTCCCAATAAGGAAAAAAAGACATGATGTTTTATTTTATTTTTGCAGACATCGAACGGAGATGTTTTTGAGAAAACACACGACGAGTTAGACATAGAGTTTCTAGGGAACATAAAAGGAAAACCATGGAGGTTTCAGACAAATCTGTACGGAAATGGAAGTACACATAGAGGTCGTGAAGAAAGATATCGTCTCTGGTTCGATCCTTCTAAAGAGTTTCATCGTTACAGCATTCTCTGGACTCCTCACAAAATCATGTAAGTTTTTTTTATTATCAATTTTGGGGTTTGTCTCCGGTTTAATTTTCAACAGCGTTGACCAAACCCGGTCTATACAAATCTCCTAGGTAGGATCGATCATTAGGCATGAAAGAATAAGAATGTTTGGCTTTTCAAACATTGATATTTTTAAAAAATTTAATCAGCTTTTTTTATTCTTTAAAATAAAATAGTAGCAAAAATCGAAAGAGAGTCAACTTTTTCAAAGCAATTAATTCGGTGTTACCTTAAGATTAATTAATATTTTCGACGCGTAATAGGATTTCAGTTGTCACGCGCAATACAACAATTAAATGATGAATTAACTGTTTGATTTTTCTATTGATCTTGTTTTTGAAATTAACAGAAGGAGAAACGTTAATGAAAACATTTAATTTCTTGAAGAAAAAAAAGTTGAATATGATCTTCATTAACGCGTTAGCAATTAAATGTGCTACTCTAATGAGAAGATTAAACCATAGCGTAATTAACTAACCATACATCTTCCTTTTTTGCCAACTAGTTGTATTAAGTATTTAACCATTCATTTATCTTCATGACTCATGGTTTTCTAGGTTTCTCATTTTTATGAAAATTTTAATTTTCAAAATTACTATCAGTGAGAACAAAATTTTAATCATAGCTACAAAAACTTGAATTAATATTTTTGCATAGCGACCTTTTTTTGGTTTTGTTTGTTTTGGAAAGTACACAAATTAAATGACCATGAACGTTTGTTAAATTACACAAGATGCCTATAAACCTTTTCCTTTTTACAAAATGTGTGATTTTCTAAATACATATGCTTTTTCACAACAACAAACACATGACTTGTTTTAACTCCAAATAAAATATAATGTTACAAATAAAATCATAATTAAGTGTATTCATTTACATAATTAACTTCCATGATATGTGTAAATGAATTGTTATTTTTAAAATAACAGATTTTTTTTAACTCGGCATTTTTATTATTATCGACGATTCTTCCATCTTAATATAATGGTTAATAAATTTATATTCTTTAGTTGATAGTTAACAAAATTTATTTTTATATAATTCTATTTTTCAGATTTTGGGTCGACGATGTTCCGATTAGAGAAGTGATAAGAAGCGATGCAATGGGAGCCGATTATCCGGCGAAGCCAATGTCTCTTTACGCCACCATTTGGGATGCTTCCGATTGGGCTACTTCTGGCGGCAAATACAAAGCAAATTACAAATTTGCCCCTTTCGTCGCCGAATTCAAATCATTCTCTCTCGACGGTTGCTCCGTCGATCCAATCCAAGAAGTCCCCACCGATTGCTCTGATTCTGTCGAGTTTCTTGAATCTCAAGATTACTCTTCCATCAATTCCCGACAACGAGCTGCCATGAGAAAATTCCGACAACGGTTTATGTATTATTCTTATTGTTATGACACGGTTAGGTATCCCTCGCCGTTGCCGGAATGTGTGATTGTTCCGGCGGAGAAAGATAGGTTTAAGGAAACGGGAAGGTTGAAATTCGGTGGTACGGAGGCTCGTGGACGACGGAAGAATCGCCGGCAACAAAGACCGGAGATTGAGAGTGATCCTGACGAAAGAAAACTTTTATAAAAAAGATTTGTTTATTAATTCTTTTGTGTGAGTAAAAAAAAAAGAAATAAAAAGAGTTAAGATTTGAGAAAAAAAAAAATATTTGTCTCCCAAATAGTATAGTAGTATAAGATTTTATACCAAAATGAACCTTAATTTGGTGCAAACGAACCAAATTAGCCGAATTAACAAAATTTATAGTTTAACAAAAATATATATAAAAAAAACTACATTTAAATATATTAATCGGAGAGGCTGAAATTCGGTCAAAAATTAGCATTTATTTCTATTTGCATTTCAATTTGGTCAAAATTATAATCTAACAAAAAATGCATTTAAATATAATACATCAAAATTAATTAATATTTTCATCCAAAACCGGATATAAATAATTAAATACAAAAAAATTTGACACAAACTTTAATCGAACTAAAATTCGGTTCTATTTCAAAAATATATTTTTAATAACTAAATTACAAAATAAATAGAACGGAACCAAACTGAATTAGTGAACATTCAAAACCCTTTTATTTTAAGGTGGATCAATCACAAATATTTTTAAATAGATTCAAAATTTCTGGAGTTCATCAAATGATGGTCAAAAATGAAAATTACAACAAATTGAAAACTATTACAAAATAAAAACAGATTTTGATTTTTGCTAGCTAGCAAGACTTATTAAAAAATAAGCAGTGTAATCTTGCTTAGCTACTAAACCTGCTTTAGCTAAAAAGCCTAAAATATGGATGATGCATTTCTATGTATTCAATTACTAATCCATAAATCAACCACTTAATCAACAAACCCAAAAATAAAATTAAAAACTTAATATCAGAAAACAACAATTTGAATTCTGTTAAAATTTTATATGCTCTGTTCGTACACACCACCACCACTCTGTTTCTTTCCCAAACACTAAAAAGAAAAAAAACATTTATATTTACACAATTTATGTTTTTATAATCTCTATGACCTTGCTTCTTCCTCAAGTCAACTGAAACACGCCTCCATTAATCTCCGAATTCTTGATCGTAACGTAGAGAAGAGAGAGGCAAATCGCGATAAGTCCCGACCAAACATAAACAATCGTCGGAGTTCTTCCTCTTCTTCCCATCAAACCTTTAGCAAACGGATACATATGAACCAAAACCCAAACCGCAAAGAACGTTCCTCCAACCAAATTAGTCCACTCTGGATTCTCATTGAAAACCGTCCGACAAAACGCGAAAAGAATCGCTACGATGTTCAAGATTATGATTGTTAACGGAGGAATCATCAAAGCTGTCCATTTAAACAGATAGAGATCAGCAAAATCGTCTTCTTCGTCGTCTCCTGATGATTTTGAAGTCAATGTGAAGGAGATTTCGATTCCGGCGATAACTTTGAGAATCCCTTGAAGAACCGCTACTAAATGCGCGCTTGTACCGCCGATTAACCAGAATTGTTCGTTTCTCCACCATTCTTCTAATGAGATTCCTGACCATTTCACTTCAAGAACAGCTAAACCGCAAAGAGACAATGAGAGGATCAAAAGGTAGATGAGGAATGATCCTTTAAGAGGATAAACAACGAACTGGCCGGAGAAGAGCGATAACGGCGGGAGGAAACAGTAGGTTAATATGAAAATGCTGGTGAATGGATAGATACCAACGTTGAGGTAAGCGATTCTTTGGAGGAATTTGAGTTTTGGACCGGCAAAAATGGCGTTGTTTCGGGAGAAAAAGATCTCGACTGAACCTGTCGCCCATCGGAGAACCTGATGGAGCCTGTCGGTTAGGTTGATTGGTGCGGATCCGCGGAATGCATCAGGTTCCATTACGCAGTAGAAAGATCTCCATCCTTTTTCGTGCATTCGGAAACCGGTCACTACATCTTCGGTTACCGATCCATAGATCCATCCGACGTTGGCTCCCCATTCTGTTTTGTCCTCGTACCAGCACGAGATCACGTTAACCGCCTCGCTAACTGTCGCAAAATCCAGCAGATCGCGGCTTACGGTTAGCGAGCCAGGAGGGCGTCCACGTCCCCTAGAGTGTTCTGTAGCCAATGGTCTACCTTCGAACTCTGCGACCTTTACCGAGTTCACTAACATACTCGAGCTACCGAATTGCTTCGGAATTAGACTGAAATCAATTCGGTCTTCGTCATCGTGGTCAATGTAGTATTCCGGTTCAGAAGCTACGGTTGCGCGACTGCGTCTCTTGATCTGCGGGAAACAGCAGCTGCAGCAACCAGACGGTTCTTCGCCTACAAAACCATCAGGCGGGTTAAAACCGTAAAGCGCAGTTCGGCGAAAGAGACATCCCGTCCCGACATACATTGGACCTTGGATCCCATCTAAAGCTCGAAGATTAACATCAAAGAAAACTGTATTCTTGTTAGCATAGCGGTCAGACGGATCAATTCCTTCAAACCGCTGCGGAAACTGAACATAGCAAACGCGGTCGCCATCACGGTCCATCATGAAACAAATCCCATCTCTAAAGGCTTTAGAGTTGTTGACATAATGGTCACAGTCCAAATTCAAGATGAACGGTCCATTAGACATTATAGCCGAGGCTCGGACCAAAGCGTTCATAGCTCCTGCTTTCTTGTTGTGGTCATAACCAGGCCGTTTTTCGCGGCTCACGTAAACAAGCATCGGCAAACGAATGTCGACTTCTTCAAAATCCAGCGCATGGCCGTCACCGCCTGTCCCTTTAACCGGTTCATCTCCAGGAGGATCAAGTAATACCTACAAAACAAAAACCACCATTCTCTCAGCTCAGAAACAAACACAGTACCGAACCAAATTAGCGATCAAACCGCCCTTTTTCTTTGTTTTACCTGTATAATACTAGCGTGATCGCCTCTCGAATGGTGCGGACAAGGGACATTCCAAGTACCGGGCCAAAACGTTCCGTCGCTCATCCAAGTAGCTTTAGGAGCTACTATGCTAGGCCTTGGCTCCTTGTCTTGTTCCTCTTCAACTTTCATTTTCCAATTCTTCCATTTCTCTAAAGCTTTCATCTCTTCTTTGCTATTAAAGGCATCCGATCTCCTTCTAATCGAATGAGACAACGCGTTAACCCGAACCTTAAACTCCTCGTAACCTCGTTTCACATACCGACGATCCCTAACAAAATCATGTCTCACTTTACCCTTATAAGGATCCATTTTCAAACCAAAGTAACTCTCCGGATTCCGCGGCTCAATCGTATGTTTCCTGCAAAACGGAACCCATATTTTCGCAAAGCTCACCGCTTCAGCCATTGCTTCAAACGTTAAAAGCGATCCACCATCATCCGATAGATAGCAAGCAAGCTTCTGCATTGGATAATCAACCGCTAAAATCGAAAGAATTGTATTGGCTGTAACCAATGGAGGCTCTTTCTCTGCATCAGCAGTTGAAACAAACACGTCAATACCAGGAAGATCCGATTTCCCGGTCGGGTTATTCAACTCGAATTTCGCCTTTAAAGCTTCGGTATCGGTTGCGTGATTAACCGGAAAAAGCTTAGGGATTTGATCTATTAACCAAGAGAAAGCAAACCAGATCTCACAGATTACAGAGAGTAGCCATAACCAAATTGCTCTCTTGTTAGGGTTTCTGATTCTCCAGAGAAGAAACAGAACAAGAGATACTATTCGAACAACTATTAGAATCCTGCAACAAAAACAGAGTCATCATCAATCTCAAGAAACATCCTTTAAAAATCATGTTTTTATGACATTTTAGAGAGAGAGAAAGAGACCGGTAAAGAGCGATGATGATCGGAGAGATTTTCACGACACGAGTTAAGGGATCAGATATCTTGTAGAGCAAGGCA